TCCACAAATGAGTGAGATGATGTGATATTTAACTTTCTCTGACAGACTTATTTTGCCTAGCATAATGCTCTCCAGTTCCACCCAAGCTGCTGAAAATGGTAAGAATTCCTTCCTTTTTACAGCAGTGTAGTATTCCATTGTGTAGCTGTACTACAGTTTTCTAATCCACTCCTCTGCTATGGGCACTTAGGTTGTTTTCAAATCTTAGCTATTGTAAATTGTGCTGCTGTGAACATAGGGGTGGATATATCCTTTCTGAAGGTGTTTCTGTTTTCTTGGGATATATTCCTAGAAGTGGGATCACTGGGTCAAATGGGAGTTCCATTTTTAATTTTTTGAAGAAACGCCATACTGTTCTCCACAGTGGCTGAACCAGTCTGCATTCCCACCAGCAGTGCAAGAGGGTTCCATTTTCTCCGCATCCTTGTCAGCATTTGTCCTTTGTTGATTTGTTGATGATAGCCATTCTGACAGGTGTGAGATGGTACCTCATTGTTGTTTTGATTTACATCTCTTGGATGATTAGTGACTTTGAGCATTTTTTCATATGTCTCTTGGCTTTCTGTATGTCCTCTTTCTAAAAGTGTCTATTTAGATCCTTTGCCTATTTTTTGATTGGATTGTTTATCTTCCTTTTGTGAACTTATATGAGTTCCCTATAAATTTTGGAGATTAAACCCTTATCGGAGATAACATTGGTAAATATGTTCTCCCATGCAGTGGGCTTTCTTGTTCTATTGTGGATGGTTTCTTTTGCTGTGTAGAAGCTTTTTATTTTTGTGTAGTCCCATTTGCTTATTTTCTCTTTAGTTTCCTTTGCCCTAGGAGTTATATTGGTAATGATATTGCTATGACAAATGTTAGCTAGTTTGCTGCTTATGGCTTCTTCTAGGATTTTTATGGTTTCCCATTTTACCTCTAAGTCCTTTATCCATTTTGAGTTTATTTTTGTGTATGGTGTAAGTTGGTGGTCTAGTTTTATTTTTTATTTTTTGCCTGTATCTGTCCAATTTTCCCAACACCATTTATTGAAGAGACTGTCTTGACTCCATTGTATGCTCTTGCTCCTTTGTCAAATATTAATTGAGCAAAATGGCTTGGGTTGATTTCTGGGTTCTCTATTCCATTTCATTGGTCTATATGTCTGTTTTTGTGCCAATACCAGGCAGTTTTTATATTTGGATAGCTTGATATCTGGTATTGTGATCCCTCCAACTTTGTTAACTTTCTCAAAATTGCTGCAGGTAATCAGAGTCTTTTTTTATTCCAGATGAATTTTTGGAGAGTTCCAACACGGATTTTTGATAAAAACTCTCAGGAAAGTGGGAATAGAGGGAGCATATTTCAACATGATAAAGGTTCTATAAGGCAAACCTACAGGTGACATCATACTCAATGGGAAAAAACTAAAACAATTTCCCTTAAGATGAAGAACATGACAGGATGCCCACTACCACCACTCCTGTTCCACATAGTACTGGAAGTGCTAGCCATAGTGATCAGACAAGAAGAAGAAATAAAAGGCATCAAAATTGAAAAAGAAGAAGTAAAACTGTCATTATTTGCAGATGACATGAAATTGTACACAGAAAACCCCAAAGACAGCATCAAAAAACTACTAGACTTAATAAATGAATTCTGCAATGTAGCAGGATACAAAATTAACACCAAGAAATCTATGGCCTTTTTATACACCAATAATAAAATCACAGAAAGAGAAACTAAAAAAAAATCATATTTACCATTGCAATAAAAAAATTAAGATTCCTAGGAATAAGCTTAACTAAGGAGGTAAATGACCTGTACTCAGAAAACTACAGGACATTGATAAAAGACATAAAGGAAGACATAAACAAATGGAAGAATATACCATGTTCATGGATTGGTGTAATCAACATCATTAAAATGTTGATACTACCCAAAGCAATCTATAGATTCAATGCAATCTCCATTAAGATACCAAAGGAATATTTCACAGACCTAGTACAAACTCTCCAAAAATTCATATGGAATAAAAAAAGACCCTGATTAGCTGCAGCAATCCTGAAAAAGAAGAACATCAAGCTATATTACAAAGCCACTGTTCTCAAAAACTTCCTGGTACTGGCATAAGAACAGATACATAGATCAATGGAACAGAACAGAGAACCCAGAGATCGACCAAATCCTTTGTGTTCTATTAACATTTGACAAAGGAGGCAAGAGCATACAATGGAGTCAAAACAGTCTCTTCAATAAATGGTGCTGGGAAAATTGGTCAGATACATGCAAAAAAAAATGAAACTAGAACACTAACTTACACCATACACAAAAATGAACTCAAAATGTTTAAAGGACTTAAATGTAAAATGGGTGTAAAAGCTGCAACCAGCATGGCTAGGGTTCAGGATCTGGAGAAGGGCCGCACACAAATGAAGACACTAGACAAGAAATATGAATTTGAAATCATGGGGGGCCAGGCAGAAAACCCTTCTCTAGTGGAAAGGCTTCACTGGGGCCCAGGCCCTGTTAGCTTTTATTCAATTTTAGAATACACATCTTGCCCTTGGTCAGGCAGGCAATCCGGTAGCAGACAGACTATCTTAAAGGTCAGTAAATATTAGTAAAGATTTACTTTGAGACTATTAGGTCAGGAAATTGCTTAAGCCACCATTGTCTCAACAGAACAAACAGTGCATAACTTTTAGCCCTTGCCAACGCTCAAGGTCCATCAGCCTTCTGAGTTCCCTGTTGCACTTTCATGATAGTGTAGACAATGGTGTAGACAGTTAACTTTCAGCAAACAGGAAACCATAAAAATCTTAGAAGACTCTATAAGCAGCAAAATACCAGACATTTGTCATAGCAATATCTTCACCGATACAGCTCCTAGGGCAATGGAAACTACTAAGGAGAAAATAAAGAAATGGGACTACATCAAAATAAAAAGCTTCTGCACAGCAAAAGAAACCATAAACAAAACAACAAGAAAGCCCACTGCATGGGAGAACATATTTGCCAATGTTATCTCCAATAAGGGTTTAATCTCCCAACATTTACAAGGAACTCATACAACTTAACAAAATGAAGATAAACAATAAAAAAATGGGCAAAGGACCTAAATAGACACTTTTAGAAAGAGGACATACACAAGGCAAAGAGATATATGAAAACATGCTCAAAGTCACTCATTTGCATGCACAAATCCCCTCCCCTTATCCACCTTATCCACAACTTCTGCAGTAGCCACTTCTAAAGCCACCAGAATTTCCTTCACCTGTGTCCTCATCCTCCTACTCCCCACTCCTACCTCCAGTGCAGCCATGGGCATCCTCCCATCCAGTTCTCAAATCAGCCACAGGCATGTCCTGGGCAGGATCCTATTCTTTAAAATAGGTGCTCAGGACTTCTGTGGACACAGCCTCATTTAATGAATCCCAGCTTCTCTTCCTGGGGAAGGGCATGTTCAAACCCTGCTCCCGCACGCCAGGGCGCATTTCCTCTGAGGGGAGGAAGGTCCTCCTCAGGATAGCTCTTGAAAAGATAATCTTTTTCTTCGTGATCCACGTTGTCTCCATCTAAGCCCCAGTGTTGAGGATAATCTGGGGCTGGTATCTGGAGGACATAGTCTGGTACTTCCACTGCAGCCCACAGTCCATTTACCTGGTATCCTCTCTTTTGAGGAAGGGTTGAGTTGGGTGTATGCTGTTCACAGTACTGGTCCAGGAACCCGTGCCAACCTGGTGGGGCCTAGGATACCCGGTGGGCTGCAGAGCTGCAGCAGGCCCAATGCCATTGATGGCACCACCAGTCTTCTCCTCACAGTGTCCCCCTCCTCTGTCCCCTTGGGGTTGCAGTCCCTGGTGAGGTCAGCAGGGCTCCTGCGGTCCAGCTCTTCTGCTTCTGCTCACAGTCCTCCTCAAGCCCTGTTTCCTTCCCACGTCCCACATGGATCAGGGTTCATGAACTGGAAGCAGAGCCGCACACAAATATGAAAAGACAAGAGATAATTTGGAAATATTGGGGGACCAGGCGAGTAAGTCCAACTCAAGGGGAAAGACTTCCTCCAGTGCTCAGGCCTCACCAAGCTTTTATTGATCTGGGATGCACCCATAGCATAGCCCTTAGGCAGGCGCCCCTGGCAACAGGCAGACTAGCACATCAGCAAGGATTTACATAATAATAATAAATGGGGAAGTAGTTTCAGCTACCACTGTCTGGACAAACAGAGGTGGCGCCTAGCTCCGACCTTTGCTAGGGCTTCAAAGGCACCCAGCCTTGGGGGGGCGGGGGTTCTCTGTCTACGCTTATCAGATAGTGAAGGCAATAAACAGTTTCCCACAAAGCCCCACTCCCGAACATCATTTTTTTCGTACCAGGACTTTGCCACTGTTTGCCTTTTAATTTAACAGTATCCTCTTCATCTAACTTGCAGCTGTTTACTTCGTTGACATAGCCAGGGGAAGGCACTTGAACTGGATCAAAGAGATAGTTTTGTATCATTTTACAGCACCTGCACCCCATCTGGATTATGTTTTGTATTATCTGTTGTGAAGATTATCCATTAGATTTCTCTAGAAGTTTTACTTCTCTTCCTGGGGCCGGTTGGTGGTGTTGGGCTCTGGGCACTCATGGCTTGTACATTATCTTTATAAATAAATGTTATCAAAATTTTTAGGTAGACACCCAGAAGAGGGATTGTTGGTAGCTCCTATCTTAATTTTTGAGGAACCTCCATATTGTTTTCCATAGTGGCTGTACTAGTTTACATTCTCACCAGCAATATATGGGGGTTCCCTCTTCTCCACATCCTCTCCAACACTTATTTATTGGATAATAGCTATTCTAAGAGGTGTGAAGTGGCATTTCACTGTAATTTCTATTTGTATTTCCCTTAAATCTAGTGATGTTGAGCACCTTTTCAAATATCTGTTGGCCGGCCCAGACGCCTGCCCCGCGCGGGCGTGGCCCCTCTCGCTTTCGGTGCCAGGCGCCCTGGGAGCCTCTGGGAACGCGCTTGGATGAAATTGTATAAAGATAGTGTTGCACCTTGCTTTTACTAATTTCAAAACAACCATTAATTTATAATACCTATATCTATGTAGCATTTTGCTTTTTAAAAGAGCTTTCAGTTTTAGGTAGATATATCACATTTAACTTGTCATCATAGTAACTCATTAAAGTAGTATTTTGTCAATTGTTAAAATATTACCACCATATTTTACAATCGACAAAAATGTAGCTCCAGAGAGGTTAAATGTCTTGTTTAAGGCTCTGCCTTCAGTACTTGAGGCAGAGCTTTACCCAACCAAGGTCTTTTCACTACCAAAGCTGTCTCCTCTGCTAGAGGCAAACTGGGTCTTTTTGTTATTAATCCTCACCCGAGGATATTTTTCCATTCATTTTTCCCCCATTGATTTTTAGAGAGAGTGGAAGGGAGGGGGAGACACAGAGAGAAAAACATAGATGTGAGAGACACACATTGATTGGTTGCCTCCCGCACGTACCCCAACCAGAGCCGGGGATCGAGCCTGCAACCGAAATATGTGCCCTTGACTGGAATCGAACCCAGAACACTTCAGTCTGCGGACAGATGCTTTATCCACTGAGCCAAACCAGCTAGGGCTGGGTCTTAATTCATGTTCGGTTCTGTAGTATAAGAATTTATTTCTTGGAGTTACTCATGACAGGATTTCATAGCAACAGAAGTTGGGTCCCCAGTGGAATTTATTAAAATATGATTTTTTTAATATAGTGAAGTTATTTAAATTATTTAGGGAAAATATCTATAGGTAGGACTATCATGGTATTGAGATAGGAGAATTGTATCATTTTCCTCTGCTTTTTGTCAGCTAAAGGAAAAGCTGGTGAAGCATCTATCTCTAATATGTAGATAAAACCTTATTATTAATAATTCTATATTAGCATATGTTTTCTCATTATGCTATCTTTTAATTTTTACCTGATTTCTTTATCTTCTTAGATTTTCAGATCCTAATTCAAAGACTCCTCCTCAAGAAGAACTGACTACTCAGGTATCATCTCCTGTGTTCGGAGCTACCTCTAATGTGAAAAGTGGTTTTGGTTTGAATACAAGTTTGTCCCCTTCTCTTTTGGAGACTGGGAAAAAAAGCCATCTGAAAACAGCACCTTTTAGCAGCACTTCTAATTCTAGATTAGAGAAAACTAGATCAAAATCTGAAGATAGTTCCCTTTTCACACATCCTAATCTTGGGTCTGAAGGGAACAAGATTAGCCAATCTTCTAATAAACAGATGCTTATAAATAAAAATATAAGTGAATCCATAAGTGAACAGGATAATATTGATCATATTAAAAATGCTATTACTGATAAACATGTGGTGCCCCTGAAATCATTGGGATGCAAAACATCCAAAAGGAAGAAAATTGAGGAAGAAAGTGAAGATGAAGCAAGCTGCCCCCAAGCCTCTTTTGATAAAGAAAATGCTTTTCCTTTTCCACTGGATAGTCATTCTTCTATGAATGGAGACTATGTGATGGATAAACCTCTGGATCTCTCTGATCGATTTTCAGCTATTCAGTGTCAAGAGAAGAGCCAAGGAAGTGAGACCTCTAAAATCAAATTTAGACAGGTGACACTCTATGAGGCTTTGAAGCCCATTTCAAAGGGTTCTTCCTCAAGCCGAAAGTTTTTAAGTGGTAGCTTTGTGCCAGCCAAAGATCCTCCAGAGGAGCCCCGTTTACAGGAGTATGTCCTTCAGCCCCTGATTAAATCCTCTCCAGATAACAAAACACCATTACAAATAAAAGAAGAAAATCCTATCTTTAAAATCCCTCTACATCCACGTGAAAGTTTGGAAACAGAGAATCTTTTTGATGATGTGAAGGTTTGTGTTAAATATTCATGGATTTTGGTTTTAAATGGTTGGTTGTGATTTCACCTAGATACAAATGATTCTTTCTGTTTTAGGGTACTGGTTCTCATGAACCAGTAAGAATAAAAACCAGGTCAGTTCATGGAGAATGTGAACTTGCATCAGTTCTTCAGTTAAATCCATATAGAATCGCTAAAACAAAACCTCTACAAAACAATCAAGATGTATTCTGTGAAAACCAGCAGTGGAGTATAGATCCAGGAGCAGACCTTTCTCAATATAAAATGGATATTACTGTAATAGATACAAAGGATGGCAGTCAACGATTAGCAATTCGGGGGCAAAAATAGGAATAGTTAACTTTTTCAGAGAAAAATATCCATAAAAATACCTCACATATAGTAGGCAGTTAATATTTACTGAAGAATGAATGAAGAAGTATTTGGGTTTTTGACATACTGAATAAACATTTCAAATAAAATGAATGAATGTTTTGGGATTATTTCTTCCCTGGGCTCTCACCTTTGTTAATTTAAAACCTAAACCAAAGATCTTTGTAATAACAAATGGATTAATTTTAAACTTAATTTATTTTTCCCCCCAGAGAGACTAGCTTACAAAATTTTCCTCATATTGAAGTGGTTCGGAAAAAAGAAGAGAGAAAAAAATTGCATGGACACACATGTAAGGAATGTGAAATTTATTATGCAGACATTCCAGCAGAAGAAAGAGAAAAGAAGTTGGCTTCCTGTTCAAGACACCGATTTCGCTACATTCCACCCAACACACGAGAGAATTTCTGAGAAGTTGTTTTTCCTTCCACTCAGACTTGTATGGAAAGAGGTTATATTAAGGAAGATCTTGATCCTTGTCCTCGTCCAAAAAGACGGCAGCCCTATAATGCAATCTTTTCTACGAAAGGCAAAGAGCAGAAGACATAGATGTTGAAGCAAAAACATGATAGAGAACAATTTTTTTCTTTCTAGTTATTTATAGCTAATGTTGGTATTAAACACTGATTTTTTTTTAATCTTCTGTAAGCTGATTTATAAATCATTTTCTATTAAAAATATTTTTTAAATGGCATTTACCTACCACACAACTACTAAAAATGTGGGTAAGTTTATATTGTGTTTTCTTGCTTTTGCACCTCTAAACAATAAGGTGCTTTAATTTTGCACTCTAAGTTAAGAATTGTTTATTTACTTTGTTTGGCATTACCCAATTACAGTTTTGAAAATATGAAAAAAAAAATATCTGTTGGCCATCTGTGTGTCTCCTCGGGAAAGTGTCTATTCAGGTCCTCTGCCCATTTTTAAATCAAATTGTTTGTTTTTTTATTGTTTTTTTAGTTGTGTGAGTTCTTTATTTTGTATTTTGTATATTAGTCCCTTACCAGAGGTATTGTTTGCAATACCACTTTGTTGGTTGCTTTTTGTTTTGTTGATGGCTTCTTTTGCTGTGTAGAAGATTTTTAGTTTGATGTAGTCTCATTTGTTTATTTTTGCTTTTACATCCCTTCTCTTTGAGGTCAAGTTCACAAAAACCCATCTGACACCAAGGACCATGAGTTCAGTGCCTATGTCTCCTTCTTTGTATTTTATTGTTTCAGATCTCATGTTCAAGTCTTTAATCCATTTTGAGTTATTTTTTGAACATGGTGTTAGATAGAAGTCTAGTTTCATTCTTTTGCATGTGACTTTTCAGTTTTCTCAACACCAGTGATAGAAGAACTTTTCCTTTCTCCATTGCATGTTTTTGGCCCCATTGTCAAAAATTAGTCGCTCATATATGTGTGGGCTTACTTCTGGGCTTTCAATTATGTTCCAGTGGTCTGTGTTTCTGTTCTTCTGCCAATTCCATACTGTTTTGATTACTGCAGCTTTTTAGTATAGTTTGAAGTCAAGCAGTGTGATACTTCTGGCATTGTTCTTTTTTTCTCAGGATTGATATAGCTATTTGAGGTCTTTTGTGGCTCATACAAATTTGAGAAATTTTTTCTATTTCTGTGAAAAATTCCATTGAGATTTTGATAGGGTTTGCATTAAATTTGTATACTGCTTTAGGTAATATGGATATTTTAACAATTTTAATTCTACCAACACATGAATATGGAATATCTTTCCATGTCTTTATGTCTTCTTCAATTTCTTTTAACAGTGTCTTGTAGTTTTTACTTCAGAGGTCTTTTACCTTCTTTGTAAAGTTTATTACCAAGTATTTTATTTTTTGTTGTGTTTGTAAATGGGATTGTTTTCTTTACTTCTCCTTCTGATATTTAATTGTTAGTGTATAGTAATGCAACAGACTTTTGTACATTGATTTGGAATCCTGAAACATTACTGTATTTGTTTATCATTTCTAATATTTTTTGTGGAGTCTTTAGGGTTTTCTATATAAAGTATCATATCATTGTTAAATAATGACAGTATCACTTGTTTATTCCAAATTTAGATGGCATTTATTTACTTTAGCTGGTTGCTCTGGCTAGGACTTCCGGCAGTGCTATGTTGAATAAGAGTGGTGCGAGTGGACATCCTTGTCTTGTTCCTGATCTTGGAGGATGAATTATCAGTTTTTCACTACTGAGTATGTATGTTAGCTGAGGGTTTGTATATATGGAATTTATTTTGTTGAAACACTTTCTTCCTATATCCATTTTATTTATTGAGTTTTTTTTTTTCGAATTAAAGAGTCACATTTATTGCAATCCGGGACTATGAAGGGTCATTCCCAAATCTCATAGTAGCTATTTGGTCACAGTTCCAGGGTTATATAGGCAAAAAAATCACAAAGGTATTGATTACATCTCAGGGTTTGGAATGAGGAACCTGGTTCGCAAAAAAAGCAGTTTACAGAAGCAGAAATTAAGCATGTTAATTACAGTTTTGGGTCTCTGGATCACTGAGTTGACAGAAACACATTATCTGGAACCCTTGGGTCTTGGGATAATTGTGCTGTCCTGGTTCTCAGGTACAGAGGAATGTGCTTTCTAAAACCAGTATGACCACAACCAATGGGGTATTCACATTACAATCAATAGGGTATTCAATTGAATGGGATGATTTATATAATTCAGAAAATCAAAAT